GACACACAGACAACTAGATGTTTGCAAATCTTTGAACACACACACACACACACACACACACACACACACACACACACACACACACACACACACACACACACACACACACACACACACTTTATAGTCACTAAGCCTGCATTCTAAGCAGCACTAAAGAGGAGTAACAGTCCACAGTGGAGCAATAGGCCCAGGGTTATCGATTGGACTGAGACACTGACTATCATACAGCTAATAGATTACATCAGACACATCGGAGCGGCCCAGTCAATGAGGCCTGATCCTATTAACTGGGGATTTGTAAACAGTTCTGTGCTCACTGTGACGGCTGCTGTGCTGCTTTGTGAGGGTCTGGAGGAGGCTCGTATATCAGTGCACCCGGCCCCAATGTGCTGCCAGCCCCAGCCCAGCCGGGGTCATGGGTGTGCTGGACAACATGCTTTCATTTTATTGTCTTTGGAACAGGGATGTCGTTTTTCTTCTGTATTGGTGTCAATCCTTCAGAGGTTTAACGTTGTAGTGGTATTTCTTGCATGGGTTGAATGTCAGTGGCTGTGTTCCAATTTACTTACTAAGTAAGTAAATTAGCAATTACAGTATAGTATAAACAACAGACTTTTACACTGGAGTAGAGAATAGTTTTAACATTCATGATGACGTCATAGTGTTAGCTTGAGCCAAATCAAAGGAAAGACTTACTCAGGTTTGCAGGCTAAAGTATAACTACTGTACAAATGGCAACATGTTGCTGGTTGCTAGCATCAAAAAGGTTATGGCTCTAACTTTCAAACTGATCACATACCAGATGTATAACTATGTAATCTAAGTATTGGAATGACACACATAAAAAGTGCTCACATTCCTAGCGTATTCTTTCAATTAGATAAGGTGGATATGTGTCTAAGGTTTTGTGATGCCCATCTCATCAGAACAAGGAAGAAAATGTTAGGGTGACTTCTCTCGTAAGCCACCATTCCACTGTAGATGATCCTTTTAGATTATCCATCTGGTTATCGTTAATTATTTTTTATTTGATCTGAGAATTATTTATTTGTTATCAATGTGGTAACATCATTATTACGTCATGGTGTTAGCTTGAGTCAAATTAAAGGAAAGACTACCTGAGATGTGAAGGCTAAAGTGACTACACATTGTAAAATGTAACTGATGTTGAAATAACATGAATGTTATTTTTTATTAAATCAATGTGGTCAGTGGGTGATGAGATGAGATGAAACCCAAATATTGTACTTGCTGACCTTTGAGGGAAAAGGCCATTTTCATTGCACACGTTTTGAAAATAGGAAAAGCATGTTCATTAACAATAATATTAAGAAGGGCTCTCTATTCAAGTGTTTGATGACCATGAGACAGCACGGACAGTTCAACAGCTTTGAAACTGAACAGTGCATGGTCGATAAATGTTTTGGTAAAATGTTTTGGTACATATTTATCTTGCTTTAGGAAATAAATAGTGCTCTGTTTTTTGAATGCATGCACATTTTGTCCCTAAAATTGATCAAAATTGGCTTAAAGAAACTTGACTATCAATTTGGCCATACATTTCTCTCAAATTGGTATTTTTGTGAGATATCGAAATGTTTGTTTGATCATCAGCTGGATTCATTTTTTAGCAGAATCATGTTCCTTGCTAGCTAGCAGGTCACCAGTGTACAATAAAGCCTTTTTATATTCTAAAAATTATGAAAGGTTTATAGTAGGGGTGCACCGAATGGGAAATTCTTGGCCGAAACCGATACCGAAAATAGGAAACAGTTGGCCGAAAACCGAATGCCGAAAGGCCGAAAATGATTAATAGAAATATATATATATAATGTATACATTTTTTACCAATGTTGTTCAGCTACCTGATTATGGAAATAGACATGATTATGGCAAAACTTAACTTAAATAATAATCACTATTATGGGTCCATAAAACATTTATTCAGCACTTTTGAATGCATACAGTACATTTATATATGTCATGTATTATTGCTAAAAAACATTATATCGCAGTCTTAGTGTCGCCAACTCGTTTCTAATATGCAAAGACAACAAATGCGTCTATGATGTATTTTCGATCAGACGAGATCTCTCTCCCCCGTCTGTGTGCGAGGGGGCGGGGCAGTTTACACACACGCAGCTGCTACATGCAGCGGAGCACACTGCGGAGATGGCGGAGAGAACGCGCTCCGAGGTGTGGTTAAACTTTACCCGTCTCGATGTGGAGAATACTTGTTACCATAAGTGCAATAAGAGTTTAGCATGTAAGCACGAGCAATTTGTCTAAACATTTAGCAAAAGTGCACCGCATGCAGACGGAGGAATGCACCGGGTTCGACCGTCTTTCTAGCAGCTCTGTAGCCCCATCCACGAGTAACGTTTCCACGTCAGGTGTTATGTATGCTAGCAGCAACACACGGAGTTAACTACATGATACAAACATGGGTTAATGATTAGAGGTAGGCTAACTGAGTTATTTAGTTTGTTAAAGTTTCAGCTATTCTGTTTACAGTCTGTCATCAGATTATTTAATACGATTTGTTAAAGGCTCAGGGCAATCTCGATGACAAAGGTCAATGTTCCCCCCCCCTGTGAGCCAGCCGCGAGCATGGTCGCCGCGTCTTTATTACGTCATCACAACAACACGTTAGATTACCAACGTAAGCCTGTTCTGACATTCGGTGATATTTTTTCGGTGCTAAAACCCTTTCGGCCGAAAGCCGAAAGGGCCGTTTTAACCATTTTCGGCCGATAATTTTCGGTGGCCGAATATTCGATGCATCCCTAGTTTATAGGTCTATGAAGGTTTATATTTAAGTGAATCACTGCATGTAGCAACTAATTAGGGGGATAACAGTTAGAAGAAACACAAATTAACCCTGGGAATTGTCTGAAAGGATCCTTTGCTTAGCTTTTATTTGTTCTACATGAGCTGCATATCATAATCCATAAATAGTAGTTTTGTGTTTTCCTGCAGCCAAACACAACCAAGAGGAGGAGAAAACACATGGTCCACTGTTGTTACAAAGCGTTAGTGCAGAGGAATAAAGTGCCACCTCCTCACCAGTGAACAGCTCAGTTCATCTAAAGTCCATTACAGCATAAGCAATACTTCAGTTTAGCCAGCACCACGATGGATGCTGGTCGTTGTTTTTTTCTTTAGATTAATTTCGTGGCCTAAACCTATTCCCATGTCCCTTCAGGGTCTGTGCAGCAAAGAGGAGTGCAAACACAGAGGCAGAAAGAGAGATAACGGTAAACTGGGTTCTCAGGCAGCGCTGTGTTTTTAAGAGCAAAACGACCTTTCCAAAATAAATAGATCTGTGTCGCGGACTGCTAGGAGAGAGAAACGCCCTCGGTTCAATAATTAATTCCCGAGTCGAGGGTTTTGGAGAGCCGCTGATTGGGCTGATTCTTTTTTTTTTTATTCTGTTATGATACAAAGGACGCCGTTTGAAGTAATTTGTCCCAGAGAGAGCTGCTTGGAATACCATACATGCTTTGATTTAGCAAAGCAAATTTAATTTTGTTTGCTTTATGCAAACCAGCCAAGGCCGCAGGGGTTTCTCTGATTCCACCAGAGGGGTGATGGTGGTGGTGCTGATGAAGGAGGTGGGGGGGTTGCACATAACAGAATCACGCTGCTGCCGCTAATATATAATACACACTCATACACACAGCGCATGCAGTGAGCGGCAACAGTTCATGAGTACAAAGCCTATTCCCCCTCAACACACACACACACACACACACACACACACACACACACACACACACACACACACTACAATCCCTTTGAAATCAAAGCTTAAAGTAATTGTTTGTGCGTTGTGTTTTGTTTCCCTCTATCCGTCTATTATTAGTGTTACTGGTATTATTCCTATCATGTTGTTTTAGCTGCCTGCTCTCGCTGCTTGCCGGGGTTTTGTTTTATGCCGTTAATGAAAGCTTCTCTCCTCGCTTTTGTTCTGCTTTGGTTTTTTTCCAATACGTGAATGGAATACATCTGTGTATATCTGTGCCTGATATTTCCTGAGACACCCAACAGCACAATAATGAAGAGGCTACTTGTGATTTAGTAGTTTGTGGAGATTTTCTTTACATAGATATTTGTGCAAACCCTTAAAGGTATACCTTAACGAACGTGATCAGACGTTCGTGATGTATTGCAGTTATGTCATTAACGATAGTCTTTAATTACCTTTATTCTGTACCGTACTGTCCGTCTACAGATGTTACGCAAACAGTGGAGGTATTTCATCTCCGAATGAGAGAAGGCTATTCAGAACAGGTGGCAAAGCGGTTTTCTCATACTCCATTCAACTCATTTTATTTTTTTTTAAAAGGAACAATAATGAGTGGATAAAGCAGAAAAACCCAATTTCCTTTATGCTTTTTATATCCAGCAAAAGCCCTCGTTGACGGCCCTTTGGTCTTTTGTTATAGAAAACTGAGCTAATATCCTCCAGCTCTCGGCGCAGTTTAAAGGTCTTAATTGGATTCCATTAGTATATTGCTTGACATGACACTTGAGTCCGCTCTATTAGAATTCCCCTGCCTGGGATTAAAAAGAATACTTTTTTCTGCATTCGACTCTCTGGGCTCTTTTGTTACATCTCAAATATTCTTTGTTGGATTCACTGTTTTTCAGTGACACCATTATTAAAACCGTGAGCTTGACTCAAACAGGTGCTTTTATGTCTAGAGGACTTGCTGTAAAAAGGCATGGCATTGTCTCATCGCTGCAGTTTCTGTATCAATAAACCTTAGAGGTAATACAGTATGAGGATAACTGATAGAATGTGCTGTAAGCCCCATAATAAACTTCTCCATCCTGTTTCTGTACAAGACTAGAACCAAGGTTGGGCTCCTTGCTGCTTTCTTTTCAGAGCATCACGCAGTGTTGAAGTGTTTCCTCCGTGGTTTCACGCGGTGTAGAACAAGGGCCAAAGGAAAGGTGTGTTTGATGATTTCTGTGTTTCATGTCTCCTGCCCCAGTCCTGAGCTGACGTGGAGGGATGTTCAGCATCTGATCGCCAACACAGCACAGATCCCCGACCCCAAAGAACCTGGCTGGAACATCAACGCGGCAGGATACCATGTTCACTATAGGTACTGTGCTACATCACATATTTTTTAACACACATATTGGGTATGATTTTATTCACCTTCTAATGCTGCGTCTAACACACCGTACGCGATGCGAATATTCACTTTGCTCTGATGCGTTCTTGCTCTAAATGCTCGAGTTTCACCGCGGCTGTCAGCTGTGTTTACTCGCATCATTCAAACAAGACGCGCTGGCTTGGGGGCATTTAATTGTAATACACGTTTCAAAATGATGCCGAAGTAACAACATACTGATATCGGTTAGTAAAACCATGAATTAATGCTTTGACAAGCCTGCAGACAGACGGCAGGCGAAAAACCTTTTAAAATGCGTGTTTTCTGAATGGAGATCAGATTGACCAGGCTAAGCTAACGTTGTATATGCTCCGGCCACACTCACAACAACGGCCTATACAGACATAAATAAACCAGCGACTGTATTCTCCATGACACAGACAGTCTGTGGTTTGTACTTGTTTAACTTTAGTCAAGTTTCTGAACAGATATGAAGAGCTGTGAGCTCTGAGTGCTAACAGCTAACGGCTGATGTTGTTTTTCTTGTTCAACGTCAGTGACGGCAGGCTGAGATCCTCACCGCTGATTGGCTACCGCGAGATCGCGACATTTTTTAACTCGAGCGGTTGTCGCGGCCCCCTCCAATCGCCTCAATCGCGCCTCGGCATTCGCATCAACCGCTTCATGCGCGCCGTCAGAGCGAATTTGCGTCTGTCCGCATCTCTGCATTGACTTTACATGTAATCGCGCCGCCCCCAAAAATCGCATTGCATCCGGTGTGAACGCAGCATAAGTGAGACTGACATGTAAACTGAACTGATCAATAGACAGATCTGTTAAGGTTCTTCATACGCTGCACTCGGAGAGAAATAGTGGAGACGGAGACGATGAACTGTTTAGCCCTTGAGCATGATTTATTCCTATGCTTCTCAGGTGATTCCTTCGCTCAGCCGAACTAACTTAGAATAACACAGTGTACACATGCATCAGGTGAACACACCCTCATTTACATGACGCAAGCCTGGTCCTTACGTAGCACGTAACACTACAGTGCCTCACAGTGGTACAATAACAATATTACATCCCTATAGTACGGAATAGACACAATCTCTCTATACATACAATAACTGAGGACATATGTAAACATTTCCCTTAACAAGATCACTTTTTGTTCTTTAAAAGGAAAGTGATCTACCATGCTAAGCTGAAACCCATGATTAGTCATTGCTATGGCTATCTAAGAGACATTAGACAATCATGGTTGTGCACTTTTTAAGTAATAGTTCAATATTTTGGAGTTTTCGTTTTGTTGCGTTTTCACAGAGTCACAGAGTTACTTAAGATTTAGATGATATAAGTCTTATATCTGAAGAGTAAATATAAGGTTACAGACGGTAACAGTTTAGCTTAGCATACGTTTTTGAAAAAAGCTGGCCTGACTCTCTCCAAAAACACAATGATTCAACAACCAACTCCTTTAAAACTTGGAATATCTCATATGTTCAATCCATTCAAACTATTTTTTGGCCAAGCAGCAACACCTGTTTGGTTTCCTGGCAACCACAAAAGACTTTGTGTGGCACATGGTAATTTGCCAGGCTAGCTGCTTACCCCTTTTTCTAGTCTCTTTTGCTAAGTTAAACAATCTTCTTGTCTATCTCTTATTACTACTCCTGCTCTTAACTCATCTTTAAAGACATTGAGGAACATAAATGTTATACTAATATTGATATAAAAACCTTTAAATAGGCTGCATACTAGAGTCAAATGTTTTTATAGTGAGATTTTTTTAAAGGGGTACATTTTCAGAGTTCAGATTGTTTTTCTGTGCCTCTGCTGTGATAGGTTTACATGCTTTCAAAAAGGCCTTTATTTTCCTCATACTGCCTTTGCTGCAGCACCTTTTTTCATCCTCTGTTGTGATTGGCCAAACGTTTAGCGATAACCTGTCCCTTAGCATATCATGTGCAAAGGAATCCAATGGCGGCGTGTCAGGCGGGGGGGGGGAGTGTGTTGGAGAGAAAGTCCCTCTGGAGAGAACTTTGGTATGTTAGCCTTTGCAGAGCATGAAGGTTTCTCAATTCTCTAATTTCCCCTCCTCGGTCCTCCGGAAATGGATTTCAGCGCGCCATGTTGAAGGACATCTAATTTCTCTAAATACACATCGAGGACCGAGGATCGAGCATCGAGGAGGCTCTCTGGAGGAGCTCTAACCAAGGAGACACTGATGGTTCCTCCGCGGATGTATTTCCGGCAACAGTGATGTTTCAAAGAGTCGTGATGCACGGTCGGACTGATCTCAGCCAATGACAGCTCTGCATGCATCCCCTGGATATTATTTCATTAACTGCTTTCATCACGACGCGACAATTAGAGAAATGAGAAACCTTCCATGTACACGCACGAAAACCTATAAAACACACTATAGGAAAGGGGAAAACACAAAAGGCATAATAAAATGTCTCTTTATCTCTTCACTTCTTTTATAAGATTGAATATTTATAAGCCTCTGAATGCTACATAAACAAACCACTGTACAAAAAAACCCTTCAGATTGTAGATTGTGATAATATTGAACATTTCAGGTGTTTTATAGATGTTTTTTCCGTGTGTTACCTTAGCTGCTTGTCTAAAATAATAGCTGCAACAGTTTTATGTATCAAACTGAGGTGTTACTTGTACTAAGTTTATTCCAGTAAACAATCCTCGATGATCACACTGGTAGTGTCATCTTCCACTTGTTTACTGCTATATTTGCCACGTGCACAACTTTAATGTGAACACTCTCCTCGTATAAAGCGCTTCAACCACAAAAAGCATCTGTTTTATGACAGTTGAGACAGGTGATCTTGTCCGGGGAGGAGTGTCATTGTAATCCTCTAATGTTATTATCACACCCACAGCGTGTCTGAGTGTCTGCACCTGCTCTGATTTATACACACAGAGGCTGGAGGAAATGGAGCTTCTCCCTGTGACTGTATGAAGCATGAATCTGTGGAGAGAGGGAGAGTGCGAGTGAGCCCCATGCTCCTCCAGACATCGTATAAACGCTTTTACAATGCTTTTACAATGTCAGCCGGGCGATGACATATCGGTAATCAGTCATAGCGTTTGTGATGTTTTTCCTCTGCTCTCTGTCTCACTCACCTTAACATTTCCTCTCCCCATCCTGGCTCTAACTCACTGTCAACACCCCTCTTTCTGTTCCCTGTTTCAACCTTTTATTCCCTTCCTGCTTCTCTCCTCCATCCCCTCTATTCGCAGCATGCTGTGTAGTAAAATAGATTGTAATTACTGTGTTGCTGAGAGAAGAATGGATTAATTAAAATATAATGATGCCGATCACACCAGCGGGCGTTTGTTGAAATCTGTCCATTTAGGGGCTGCGGCTGAGGACTCGTAATGCCCAGATCATACTGCAGCGGCCACCCTAATTATGAAGAATGGTTTATTGCATGGGCAAGGAAGGATGGACTGGACTAGTGCAATGAGCACAGGGTCACTTAACATCAATGAGGTTGTTACAATACATTAAAGATGTGATATCTGTAATGAGAGGATCCATGTTTAGGAAAATTGAAGATAACACTTAATGCTTATTAGCTATAGTGGAAACTAAGTGATATTTCTCTGGATTCTGCATGGTTATGACTTATGAGTTTGTTGCAGGTAAAATGGCTCAATGCACTGCGTCTTGAAAGGCATGCAAACAGACATTACAAACAAATTAAATCTTCTCCAATTTAACCGGCACATTCTTTAAAGAGGATATTTTATGTTCATTTCAAGGTTAATATTTGTGTGTAGTGTCTCTACTGTGACATGTCTCCATGCATTAATGTTCAGAAAGCTCTTTATTTTTCTCATACTGCTGCAGCACCTCTTTTCACTCTCTGTCTGAAACCAGAGCCAAGTCTGCTCTGATTGGGTAGCTGGCCGGCTCTGTTGTGATTGGTCAACCTCTTAGAGGTGTCCCGCCACTTAGCCTATCAATGTGTTGGAGCGCTAACCAATATAAGCGCAATTGTTACTTAGTGATGTCACTATGTAAAGCTGTAACGGAGTCCAATGGAGAAGTTTCAGGCAGGGGGGGAGTGTGTGAGAGAGAAACTCCCTCTGGCGTGTACCTTTACATGCATAAAAACCAATATATAAACACTACAGGAAAGGGAGAACCCAAGAAAGTATAAAAGGGCCACTTTAATGCATTTGTATGTGACCTTTGGGACCTTCCATTGTCTTCCCTTTGACTTGGAGTATTTAAGGACTTGCAACATGTTTTGTAATGCTGTATATGGGTTTTGGAAGTGGAAGTAGAATATGTGTCCATGTCTTAATTTCCATGTTTGTGTAAAATACATCGTTAGACTGTGGTCTCAAGCGATAATGCTCAACCCATATATAAGAAAATGCTAGTACACTGCACCATACTATTTGTGGAGTGCAGACATTCCTCTGTTTGGTTGAAAGCTTTCAGGATGACGTGTTGAATATGATATCACAGTAGTTTTGAACACTATGATAGTTATTTAAAAATCCCCCTACACTGGTACATTCTGCAGTGAAGAATGACAGAGAATTGATCTGCAACCAAAAGAGAGCCATATCATTCTTTGAAAACACTGCACACGTGCGCAAACTGGCTCACTGATGAGCAACACATCTAGCATTTACCTACAGAAAAGGCCAGAGTGTGTTAGAATGAGCAACAGCGTTTAATGCACTATGATTTAAAAAAGAATGTATGAGGAAGAAGGTCTAATGGCTTCCTTCAAAAGTAACATAATTACACTTTAGATAAGAAAATGTAATGAAGATATTAAGTATAACCTCTTTAAAAATGCCACAGGGAGCGTGTTGGGATTGAGGACACATGGTTGCAGTCAGAGAAGCATGGCTTTGTAAAAGATGAAGGGAAATAATGCCATAGATGTTGGTGAGTTGGCATTGATGTGTGTGAATGTAAATGGGTGTGTGTATTTGGGGAT